ACATAAGTACAACTCGACAATATGAGAGATAGCATGAATAAAAGATTCCAAATAAGGATAAGTCAACAATGAAAGGGATAACAACAACTTCAATTAAGATTAAGCAATTACGAGAAAGACAACAATAACTTCAATATAGGTTATGCAGTTACGGAAAAGATAGCAATAACTTCAATTAAGGTTAAGCAATTACGGAAATGATAACAATAACTTCAATTAAGGTTAAGAAATTAATTAAAAGATAATAATAACTTCAATTAAGGTTAAGCAATTACGAAAAAGAGAGCATGTCAATAAAAGAGGCGACAACTTCAATTAAGGCACATAAGAGTTTATTGGCAACAAGGATAGAACATAAATCAATCAACTCCAAATAAGACACGTAAGGGTGAATTTAGTAAGTGGAGGATTTAATATGATAAGACAACTTCATTTTTAATGAACATAAGAATCTAAGAGCCCTAAAAAGTCAAATTTCTATAAATAAGCCTGAGTACGTGCTCGTCACCTCGCGTACACGACCTTCACATAATTCAATTAGCACAAATGACTCAAATCCTTAGGGGTAGTCCCCCCCACAAAGTTAGACAAGATGCTTACCTCAAAGAAGCTAGACCGATACTCTAAAATGATCTTCTCGTGTGAAATAATCTTTGGACGACTCATATCTAGCCAAAATAACTTAACATCATAAATAAAAATAATAGGAAATAATTCCGGATAATAAAGCTTCGATATTGAACGAGAAACAAAAGTCAACTCAAAATGTCAACCCCTGGCTCGTGTATCGGAACGTGACCACAAGTTCTTCAAAGACCACAAAATCAAAAAGATTCTATCGACCACTTATCACCCAAGTGCGAACGGTCAAGCGGAGTCAACAAATAAAACTATACCGAAGAATCTGAAGAAGATATTGACCGACTCAAAACGGAAGTGGAAAGAAATTTTGCCCGAGGTCCTATAGGCATATAGAACAACTTCGAGGTCGAGTACTCGTGAAACACCATTCTCCCTAGTTTTCACGACCCAAATCCGTAATAGGTCGCCATTGCACCTAAGCTTCCGTTAGGCAAGCCCACAAGTGAAATTACTATTTATTTGCCCCTTCTAAACATTTTTAAAATAGAAGTTTCCTTTTTAAAAAACAGTTTAAACTAGATTTCATGCAACTGTAACATCTCTTTGAAACAAAATACCATCATGATAAGAACATCCATAGTGGTGAAAGAAATGATAAATACAGCAGTACATAAATGCTAAAGATCCCCTAAAATCCGGTATCACAAGTGCAAGAGCGATCTAGGGAATATACAAAACTACTACAACTACTGTCTAAAAATGATAGACAGAATAGTAAATAAGGTAGAGGGAAACTCAGGTGTTGCGGATCGTAGCAAGGCAAGCAGCTTACCAATAAGTCTTTGTAAATGCATCTACGCGCTCGCGTGACCGCTGGTAGTACCTGTCTCAGTACCTGCACATCAGTGTAGAAGTGTAGTGTGAGTACGGGAAATAACGCGTACCCAGTAAGTATCTAGTCTAACTTCGAAGAAGTAGTGACGAGGAGTCGACTTAACACTTACTAGAGGTCAAATAATAGTAATACAAGTGCATAAAGTAGACATGTGAGTATACAACAAGTATCAATGAAACAAATAAGAGTAACTACAATAAATAAAATCAGGAGTCTGTTTCAATTACTGGCCATGAAGGCGCTAACTCAATTATACCTAAACCAGAATCTGTCATCGTTCCTACTCTCCGAGAAGTGAGGGGACTATTTGTGTACGGGTAAAATCAAAAATAAAGTTACCCCCAATTCCCCGATGAAGAAAAGAGGAATAGTGTGATTCGACGCTGGATCAGGTAAGGTCGAGGGTGCCCACAGATTGGAGTTTGGGGGGATGAATGATACATCGGGAATCGAGCATGGCCAAACATGGAAAAAATAAAGCTCGAGTGAAACAAAGAATTGAGGTTAAAGGAAACATGTTAAAGAAGACAACGAGGAGCTAGAATATCCGCCATTAGCCAGATATTATGGCGCGGATCACTCCCGATATTAACTGGGGATGGTGATTTATTGGGAAAAAAAGAAAGGAAAAGGATTTTACCTCATTTAGACTTGTAATAGGGTAGAAACTACCCTAATATATAAAGGGGAGAACCTTTTCATTTTTCGGTCACTGTTGGCACATATATCAAAGTTTACATTTGTCTTTTAGCAATTGTTTAAGTGTTCTTCAAGTTGTTCATTAATTCAGTCACAACCGAGCTCTAGTCCGAGAGCTCGATCGGGACCGATTATTGGCATTCAAACCTAACGCTAGGCTTAATCACTTCGTCACATTTGGTTTGATCGTTTTATTTTCCTGTAATTTAATTATTTGTTGTTCTTTGACCATTCATGTTAGATTAAACCACATATTTTTTAAATCGCGTACAAATTTAATTGTATTACTCATTTTAAGGGTAAATAAAATTAATACTAGATAATTCATGTTTTGTATAACCATCTGATATCCGTATGACCAATTAAAACCACTTGCTATCAAAGGTTCCTCTATTCTCGAGGTACGAATCGGAGACCTCTAATTATGAAGATAGAAAGATCTCATTCATTCCATGACACCCTTCCACTATTAGAAATTCGGACAAAATCGTCCAAAAAACTGATCAAAGTTGGCCGGTTATGGCTAATAACCGTCCAAAATACGACCATTTACGTGTGGACTCTATTTTGAAGGTCGGAAGGGCATACCGACCAACTTTGGTCGATCAATTAAATTCAAAAAAAAAAATATTGCAGGAAAAACCGACCAAAGTTGGTCGGTATTTTAATTATGTAATAAAAAATGCACCATCTGGGAATCAAACCGGAGTCTGTACTACGACAGGATACTATTCTACCACTAGACCATTGGTGCATTTTGTTTTAAGGCTATCTTTTATTTCATTTATACTCTTTAGTTGTATTTTCGCACGAAAATAACTGACCAAAGTTGGTCGATTTTATTAAAAAAGTAATTACCGACCGAAGTTGGTCGGTTTTTTAAAATGACCGGCCGAATTAGCTGACCAATTTTGGTCATTTTTTTAATATTAATTTTAATTTATTTTAAATGAAAAATCAACCAAAGTTGGTCGGTTTCTTGAAAAATAATTTTCGCGGGACTCAAAAATAGTTTTCCGCATTTTTGCACTAAAGAAAACTGACCAATGTTGGTCGGTTTTCGTAAAAAAAAATTAAAAATTAAAATACTTTGAAAAACCGACCTACTTTGGTCGGTTTTTTGACTGTTTTTTGACCGATCAAAAATGATCGGTCGATCTTTGCCGAATTTTTAGTAGTGTTCGGTGATGAACGACATATTCTTGCATCTTTTTGTATCCTTTGTTAAAATTTCAAACTCAGCCATCGGGGGAGCTAGAAATTAAGTTGCGGGTTCGACCACACCCAATAACTTTAATACAATCTTTATATTTATCTTAGAAAACTTATTTAATATATATAAATTATTAATTTAGAAATAGTAATTTAAAAAGACGATAATCTTGAACTCATAACTTCAAATCCTTACTCCGCCACTTCTTTGTCCAAAAAAAAAAAGGCGTGCCTTCCCATAAATTCTCGAATGAGGATGTGAAAATATCACCAAGGGAATAGGGTACGTATAATCATATTACAATCTACTAAGAGTACTACTGGTACGAGGTCTGAGTTTGATAAATATTTAAAGTTAGTCAATCGGAATATACAGACTTGTCATTTCCAAGAACTCAATGCCAAACAATTAGAAGGCTTTAAAGTTTAAAGTATTCTCAATTTGGACCAAGCTTAATCAATGGCGTGTAATGGTCCCACTTACTTGATATATCAAATAAAGGAGGACCCACCAAGATATTATCAATCCTTTATTGCCACGTGTCCCTTTAATGTGCACACTAACCTTATTTTCTACAATCATCAAATGGGCATTGAATTGATTGCTTTAGCAATAAGGGTTCAGTAATTTTCAAACCAAAAAAGGCAGTACGATAAACAAAGTATTTCATGTTGACGTAGAGTTTGAAAAAGTGAAGCACCTAAAAAGATATGATATAAGTAACCTATTATAATATAATTATTATAAGTGACTGATTCCATGGTTCGAACTCGTAACTATAAGCTTCTATCGTTACTCCAATGCTTCTTCAAATAATTTTATAGCCAGCAAGAAAATAAGTTACATGCATACGTAGTGTAAAAAAGTTTACAATCAATCCAATTTAATAAGATATTATGTGATATTTATTGCATCATATCTGTATAAATAGGGGCGGATCTACCTTGAGAATTCGGGATGGTACGGCACCCGCCTCCTTCGGCTAAATTTTTTAATATATAAGTATATATCTAGGCAAAAACATATATGTAGTTGAAGTGTCATCCACAATTCACAAATGTGATGCGGGTGCCCCCGAAGATAAATTAATCTAGTAAAACAAACAATTTGTACTAGTTAAGCTATTCTTTAAGCAAATTTTATAATTGGAGGTGTTCATTTAGTAATTTTTTTGTCGGGCAATTTCCTTCCACAATAGAATTTAGATTAAGCTTGAAAAAGGATTAACTAGACAATATTAAACTTATTTGTCTATCTTTGTGAATAGAAGGCTTAATCAACTAATCGGAAGTAACAAAACTTTTTATTGAGCCGACTTGCCGGTCTGTGTGGATAGAGGTCGGTATACTTTTTACCTAAAGAGTGGCACCCGCAACCTTTAAATCTAGGATCCGTTAAGGAATTTCATTTTCATACCTGTTATTGTATAATCAGTATATAATCTAACTATATCGGCCAGAAAAAGTAAATAGTAAATTCAGCCGACTATTTGTGTAAGATTCATAAAAATTATACTCTATCAGTACACATAAGTTTAAAAAAAAAAAATAGTACTCTTATATTTCTCTCGTATGTTAGGTATTCTATCATATAAAGACATTCAGAATTTGCCAACTTTTCATTGCAGATAATGAATTCAAATATGGAACTCCTAAACCAAGAAGTTGAAAATTTAAGCTCAAATATTCAACTAGGGGATTTGGCTTTGTCAAATGAAGGTTTTTCTATTCATCATCAAAGAATTCATCATATTGATCATGATCAAATTCCCATGATTATGGCTTTCAATAATGATATGAATTTGTCAAGCAATATTAGTAATTCCCAAAATGTTTATGATCCAGTAGGAGCTCAATTCTTTACATTGGGAGGTCCAACTTATGGCATAAATTCAATCCCAGAATCAGATTTTTTGATGAATAATATTTCAACTCCTGCACCTCCAGTGTCAATTGGAAACGGAAAAGTCAATGGAAATTATGTACTTTTCTTTTCCTTTGATCTGTTCACTTTCTTCATCGTTTCAGTATTCTTTTGTAGTCATTGTATTTAGTTTTCTTGTTGCTGGTCCTATGTATAGAACCAATTTCTGGATTGAGCACAGTATGAAAAGATCTTTTAGATGCATACATATATTCTTCCGGGGATGATTGGGGCGTGGACATAATGGTCTTTATGATACAATCGATAATTCGTTTCATTTTAATTCACTTAGGTTTTGCTCTATAGCTTCTCTAGTTCTCTTAGCTATCGTTACATATTTTTTACTCGTGGAAAGTGGAAAGGCAGAAGCATCGGATACCATAACTGCAAAACACAGGACAGATGTTGGGTTGGGTATATGAGGAAGCAATCCTTTGACCCTAGTAACGTGTTTTAAAGTCATACAGGTCTAGGCAAAAAACGAACAATATTACTAGTTAATTGGCGGGGCCGTTCCATATGTTTCATCTTTTTCCCTTTTTTTTCCTTCACAAGATTTCATGTTTATTTGAATTTGATATGTGGGATTGGATTCTTTATAGCAGAATTGTGGTGGGAAAAAGAGAAAAAGAAAGAACGATAGAGAAGCTGATAAACCAAGAGAAGTTGTTCATGTTAGAGCAAAGAGAGGTCAAGCAACAGATAGCCACAGTTTAGCTGAAAGGGTAAATATTTTTCATGCATATTGTTAATAAAATTTATAACTTCTATAATTTAAAAAAAAAAATTCAAAATTAGATTTAATATATTAATCTTAATTTATTTGCACTTTGTGACTTAGCTACGACGTGAGAAGATAAATGAAAAATTGAGATCCTTGCAAGAATTGGTTCCTGGATGTTATAAGGTACGTAAAACAATCCATCTTCTTCTTCTTTTTTAATTTAAAAAAGAATTCTGAAATCCTTAAATTTTAATGAGTTATAGTAATATTATTTGATAATTCTAGAAGAAAATTAAAGTTCTAAGATGTTTTAATTGCCATATAATTATGAGTTCTATAACTTAAGTAATATATGGTTGCAGACAATGGGAATGGCAGTGATGTTGGATGTAATAATCAATTATGTTAGATCATTANNCAAAATCAAATTGATGTAAGTCACAAGATGATCAAAATCTTCTTATTATTATATGGTGCCAAAACTCCAAAATAAATCAGTTAACCTGTTTTCTAATTATATTAATGTATCCATAATTATTTTCCTTTTAGTTTCTTTCCTTGAAACTGTCAGCAGCAAGCTTGTTTTATGACTTCAACTCATCAGAAATGGAAGCTATGGACTCAATGCAGCAGGTGCATCTTCTATATTTGGTGATAGATTTTCTATTTTTCTCATTTTTTTCCTATTAGTATTTGTTGGTGTTGTGTGATAGTTTTATCTAAAAGTTTAAACACAATGCCTCATCACGTGGGGTTGATAATGGGTGGCAGTGAGACTCGAACTCAAGACATATGCCTGCTCTGATATTAGAGTTGTGTGACCATCTCATCAAAAAGTTTAAACTGTTAGAAAAAGTGCACTTTTAATTATTTAATTATGTCTTCAACATTTTTTTAATTATTGATCGATATATTCGGCTTGTGAAAAGCACAAGTCTATCAATTATGAAAAGATAAATTTTCTTGAAATTTAAGCTACTTTATCTTTTGAAAATATCCTTGACATATTTCCACCAATTGATTTTTGTAGGGAAAAAATGTTTATGAAGCACAAGGGATGGGAAAGATTGATGGCGAGGGGTATGGTGGATTTCCTCATTTTCAACCATCTTGGCCGTCTCTTTGATCGTACATAAGAAATCTCCCTAAGAAAATATACTCTGAAAAAGTTCCAATAATACCGCAATTATATTTTGAACTCCCATATGGTTAAATTCTGCACTTTCACATAAAAGTATAGGTTCTTTGTATTTAATTTGTTTTTGTTCTGTTTAACTCTAACTTTGGTTGCTCATCAATGAGTTAGTAGCTGGCAACGATATTTGACGCATCTATTAGCTGAAAAGGCCTAAAGTCGGGCTCTTTCTTCTTGTATCATGCATATTGTAAGTTTTATGCATTGATATATAGATACAAAAGATATTTACACAATCGCATCACTTATAAGGTAACTACAACAATAAATTTTTATAATAAATATGGTAAATTAATAATTTAATAAAAATAATAATTTTATTATAATAGGTTAAATTCTATTGATGATGTAAAGGGTTTTTACCGTCTAAGATAATGCGGTCATATAAAATAGAAGTAAGAATTAGTCAGTCCGCGTGACATTTCGATCAATTAAGGTTCAATCGTAATGTCATGGGCGGCTTTTCAGCCATGCCCCATATGATCCCTTGGACGCGTCCCATGGCGTCCTAGCAAGCCCCCCAACGCCTAGCGCTATGGACGGCCCCAGGGTCTTGGCTGAGCCAAATGACAAGCGTGCATGCGCCTCTATCGCCCCACCGATAGCCCTCGCCAGCGCCAAGACGCAGGCAGATGCTAACAGTGCCACGCGTGCAGACAACGCCGTGCGCGCAGACCATTTTCTACCTTGTAGAAAACTAAGTCCTTTTTATTATAAATATAGAGTAGTTTTATTTCATGTACTTCCCTTATGTTCCTCTAGCTTAGTTAGGTCAAGTCCTGTAACTTTGGTTTATTTTTTTAAGCATCATTAAGGGGGATAAAGCAATCAAACTTTTTAACAAGCAAGCAATTCTCTGTAATGGTGTCTCTCCCCCTCGACACTGTGTTGCCTTTATGCAATAGCTTTCATTAATGCAATCAAGCTTTCTTTTATTCTCAATTCTCTTTTCTGTTCTCTCAATTGTTCTTGACACTGGTTTTCCCGTACGACACTGGCAATCTAGTTTAACGTACGGAGGGGACTTTAGTTGGCGGATAGTAACTACACAGGTATCGGTTGCTTAGCCTTACGTCGCCCTTCCAAGGAATCTCAGGTGAGATGCCGTATAACAGTTGGTATCAGAGCCTAGGCTCGACATCGGGCGAGGGAACACATTGCCATTACACCATTTTTTCTGACCATGGTGAATCATGGGGATCACATCGCGGCCCTTAAAGAGACGGTTGACGTATTACGACCCATCGTGGATATTGTGCCTGATTTAAGAACCAACCTAGTGCAAATGTGGGACGACCTGGACCACAGGATACGACAGGCCGAAGGTGACATTGCGAACATCAGCCGCGATTTTGAAGGAGACCGACAAATGGCAGCCACAGAGGCTTTGGTAAATTCGAGGGCCTCCAACAGGAGCATGCCGAGGATTTAGCCTACATGGCTTAAGAGGCATATAAGGTGACTTCCATAAATCAAACTATAAATAACTTGACAGGAAAACTAATGTTGTCAATGCTGCACTATAAGGCCTGCTTCGAGGAGGCGGAAACCAAATCGGGTGTGCTGCGAACCTCGCCCTCATGGCACAAAAATTGAAAGTTCCTAAGCCAAAGTCATGCAGTAGAGCTCGGAATACCACAGAAGTGAAAAACTTCATCTTCGACATCAAACATTACTTCGATGTCGTAGGACAGTTGGAAGAATCCAAAAAGGTAGCAACT